TAAAGTGTATCTAAACCTCAAACCAAAAATGTAATGTAGTAAAGATTACTAGTGCTTGGTATGGTGGGTGTATTTGTTTTGTTTTTTTTTGCTTTAGTTTCATTTGTTAATCATAAAAATAATATACTTCCAGCCCCTGGGTGACTACGTCATTCTACTGTATCTATGGAGGGAGCCATGGCTGTCACCCTAGGCTGCATTCCTGATATGGACTCCAAACATGTCCATATCTCTTCATCCCTATTACATGGATGGTAGGGAAATTGGTAATTTAGGCTCCATGCACACTAGCATTTGTTTAAGTGAAAAAACACTATAAAAAACCGCTGGATGAAAAACACTGATAATAGCATTTTTGTGCTGGCTTGTAGTAGCCTTTTAGTAGCATTTAGAAGCATTTAGGAGCATTAGCATTTTGTGAGTGTTTTTATGGTACATGAAGAAAAAAAAAAGCTGTTAGCAGTGTTTCAGTAGCGTTTAGGAGCGTTCAGCGTTTTCTTCTGCTGAGAAAAAGCCACCAAAAACTCGACAAAAACAACTCATCCAGGTTGGTCTCTGCAGGCTCCGGCAGAGGAATCTATCTTGCAGCCACAAGGTAGTTGTCGGCTGCAGTGCTTCAAATTTCCCACCCACACATCTTCTCACGCTCAGCACTGGTTAGGAGTTGGAGTGTGGGCGGGGCAGACAGGAGGAGAGGGGCGGGAGGAGGCAGTATGCATTGATCCCCTCTCTCCTCTCCTGTCCATGCAGGTAAGGGGAGAGGGGAGTGTGCTGTCTGGGCTGTGAGCCGCTGCAGACACCTTCTATTGGATAAAGTCTGCATTGGGGGGGGCACAGCTGAAATGTGGGGGGGGGGGCATAGTCCTCCCCAGCACCCCCCTGGATGTCCATGCAAGTAAGGGGAGAGGGGAGTGTGCTGTCTGGGCTGTGAGCCACTGCAGACACCTTCTCTTGGATAAAGTCTGCCTGGGGGGGGCGCAGCTGAAATTTGAGGGGTCATAGCCCACCCCATCACCCCCCTAGATGTCCATGCAGGTAAGGGGAGGGGGGAGTGTGCTGTCTGGGCCGTGAGCCGTTGCAGACACCTTCTCTTGGATAAAGTCTGCCTGGGGGGAGCGCAGCTGAAATTTGATGGGTCATAGCCCACCCCAGCACCCCCCTAGATGTCCATGCAGGTAAGGGGAGGGGGGAGTGTGCTGTCTGGGCCGTGAGCCGCTGCAGACACCTTCTCTTGGATAAAGTCTGCCTGGGGAGGCGCAGCTGAAATTTTGGGGGGCATAGCCCACCCCAGCACCCCCCTAGATCCGGCCATTTTTACAATGTAGCTGTTAGCCAGCTAGAGATTGCATTTATTGAAGATGATTATCAAAAGTGCTACACTCATTTTAAATTCAGTACTTTTTGCCATTGTTGCAAGAATGAGAAAACTGACTTTTTTTTGTCACTGTTCTAAATTTGTGGATTATTATACATACTGTCTAAAGTACAAAATGTCTTAGTTGCAGCCATTACATCACATACATTTTATAGCAAACCTGGATGTTTCCTCTACGCACAAAATAACTTTATACCACAAAATTCAAGTGCATGTCGGGAGCACTACAGTAGCTCTATGTGGTTTGTAATTTTCAGTGCTGAAACAAGGTCCTTAACCATTTCCATACCGGGCAATTTTACACCTTCCTGCCCAGGCCGGTTTTCAGGTTTCAGCGCTCTCACACTTTGAATGACAATTGCGCGGTCATACAACATTGTACCCAAACTAAAATGTTATCATTTTCTTCACACAACTAGAGCTTTCTTTTGGTGGTATTTAATCACCGCCGGGGTTTTTATTTTTTGCTACATTAACAAAAAAAGTCCAAAATTTTGGAAAAAAAACACACGTTTTTCTTTGTTTCTGTTATAAAAGTTTGCAAATAAATAATTGTTCTTCATAAATTTAGGCCGAGATGTATTCTGCTACATGTCTTTGGTGAAAATAACCCAAATTAGGATGTATTTTTTAGTTTGTAGGAAAGTTATAGAGTTCACAAACTATGGTATAGATCTGAATATTGATCAATCCTGAAGTACTGACGGCCAATCTAATTTCTTGAGGTCCAAGAATGTCAGAACAGTACAGATATCCCCCAAATGTCAGAACAGTACAGATATCCCCCAAATGTCAGGACAGTACAGATATCCCCCAAATGTCAGGACAGTACAGATATCCCCCAAATGTCAGAACAGTACAGATATCCCCCAAATGTCAGAACAGTACAGATATCCCCCAAATGTCAGAACAGTACAGATATCCCCCAAATGTCAGCACGGTACAGATATCACCCAAATGTCAGAACAGTACAGATATCCCCCAAATGTCAGGATGGTACAGATATCCCCCAAATGTCAGAACAGTACAGATATCCCCCAAATGTCAGAACAGTACAGATATCCCCCAAATGTCAGGACAGGACAGATATCCCCCAAATGTCAGGACAGTACAGATATCCCCCAAATGTCAGAACAGTACAAATATCCCCCAAATGTCAGGACAGTACAGATATCCCCCAAATGTCAGAACGGTACAGATATCCCCCAAATGTCAGGATGGTACAGATATCCCCCAAATGTCAGGACAGTACAGATATCCCCCAAATGTCAGCACGGTACAGATATCACCCAAATGTCAGAACAGTACAGATATCCCCCAAATGTCAGGATGGTACAGATATCCCCCAAATGTCAGAACAGTACAGATATCCCCCAAATGTCAGAACAGTACAGATATCCCCCAAATGTCAGGACAGGACAGATATCCCCCAAATGTCAGGACAGTACAGATATCCCCCAAATGTCAGAACAGTACAAATATCCCCCAAATGTCAGGACAGTACAGATATCCCCCAAATGTCAGAACGGTACAGATATCCCCCAAATGTCAGAACGGTACAGATATCCCCCAAATGTCAGGACAGTACAGATATCCCCCAAATGTCAGAACGGTACGGATATCCCCCAAATGTCAGAACGGTACAGATATCCCCCAAATGTCAGAACAGTACAGATATCCCCCAAATGTCAGGACAGTACAGATATCCCCCAAATGACCCCTTTTTGCAGAGTAGACAGTCCGACGTACTTCATAAGAGGAACGGCAAGTTTTTTGAAGTTGTATTTTTTTTGTCATAATTTTTCGGAAAATGAAAAAATTAAAAAAATTATTTTCACTATTTTTTTTTTACATACTGTCACCAGTGCAGTACAACGTCATCATATAACTGGCACAGCGGTGATCAGGGACACTGACTGGTGACAGTATGAAAAAAAAAATATATATATTTTTTTTATTATTTTTTAATAAATTTTGTTTTCTTTTTTTTTAAGATTTTTTTTTCCTATTTCACTATGACCAAAGTAGTACAATGTTACCATTGTAACAGTGGTAACTGCAGGAGCGCAATCTGCGCATGTGCAGGAGGACGCAATACAGCGTCCACCCGGAACGCTGATGACATTTGCCGGCCGCCATTCGGCCATAGGGCGGGCGGCAAATGGTTAAAGTGGAAATACACTGCATCTGAGCACTACAAACCAAAACTCTACTTAATTTATTTTTAATATTCACAGCTAACTCCCCCAATCCATTCATGTCTCTATGCTTTATTTTGCTGAGCAATCACCTTGAAAAATATGTCCTAGCATTTCTGGCCGTGGCCATCTTTAGTAAGGGCAGATGATTCATGTAACTTTTACTTCCTGGAATTCATCTGCCCTTATCTCAGGCATGCGGAGAAGGAGGGTGTGCTTAGCAGAGAAAACCCCTCATAACCACCTAAAGACTCCTGGGATGTATGACATCATTTGCCTAGGCGTGGAATCTAGGAAGTGACTGAAGAAATGTAAAAAAAAAAAGTTTAAAACAAGTAAATATGATATACTGTACTTCCTATGTATTTATTAATGCTAGCAGCATACTGGTTAAAAATAGTCAATGTTGATTGAGAGAATGAAGTTCCACTTTAGGCACCCAAGGTCCCCCATGCACTGTGAACTACGTTGGTGGCATAGGTCGCATCACTCTTTTTTTTATTTCACATGGCTTTGTTTATATATTCCTTCACATTTACAAGCAGATCAAGCTATACAGTAAAAGTGACAGTTGCAGGGGTAGGGAAAGACCATAAAACACTGCTTCCAATGGTCAGCTTTTCATTTAATTAAAAACTTTATTCCAAAAGAGAACAAACTGTTGCTTAAATTGAGTAAAAAGTGTTAGCTGAAGTTGGGCTTTCATTTTTGTTTCTCCTACTTAAAGTGGAACCAAAATTGAACTGTTATAGGAGAAGTCTAAAAATCCTAATTGTGCCTAGGCTGTGACTTAAAAATGTACCTTAGATTTAAATACCGCCTTTAAATATACAGTAGCCGCGCACATCCTGGTAAGTGAGGGTGCCTAGGCATTCCTGTGCTTACAGCCTCTTAGGTGTACATCTACAGTGTGAGATCTAAGGTACTGCTGCCTCTAACTGCTAGGCTCAGGTGATTTCAACTTTAATATTTTATGTTCAACATTATCCTGGGTGCAGTAAATGACCAAACCCCTATGTAAAGCCTGGGTTTAGGATCTGGGCTCTTCCTCAAGGAACTGACTCTATGGTACAACCACTTATGGAGGAGCAAATTATGACCAGCCTTATCTGCAGCAATGACCTTTTATGTGCAAGGACTTCCTGGTGTGTGGTTGAAATTCTTCTTGTTTTGAATAAAAATATATGAAGTTTATTGGAGGTATTTGATGGAGATGACAGGTTAATTTTAATTGACATTAAAATCCATTGTTGGCCTCTTTTGGCCAGGAAACCACAGTTGATCAAAGAGGCCTTCTGATCCCATTTTGAAGAGAACATTTTTGCCTCCTTGCTCCTGCGCTTCACCCAAGTTTGACATATGCCAGAGGACATTTGGTAAGTAAATAAATTATCTCAAGCAAAATAGATGTCCTTCAGACTTGGTTTTCATGGTAGGTCCAACATGTTATTGATTGTATAGAGCTCTTGCGTGATGTTGTAGACTTTAACTATGGAATCCACTGTGGTCAAGAGGACAACTTTGGCTTCCTTGTGGTCCTGGACACATACTAATTTGTACATCTTGTCCAAAGGAGGCAGAGCCAAAAATGCCACTTCAGCTATCTGCCGAATGAACCAACTGTGGTAATGCGACAAGGTCTTGTGGTAGGCATCGGCACACATTTCTGAAGTCTGGTCCTGCCCGGGACTGGTGCCCACTTTGTAAAGAAAGACTTCCAGCCATTTAAGGGCTCTGTGCATGCGCAAAAGTGTTCGGCAGCCTGAGGGCACGCGATTGGAAGGTAGGTATTTAAAGTTCACCACCTCGTTCTCCAATTCATATTTTATCATGGAATTGATTGTTTTGTAGCTTTTCCCATTCTCGCCATCTAGATATCCCTGCAGGATGTTGATTTTGGTCATTGTTTCATGAGAAATAAAGCCGAATACAGAACCCATCGAATCCATTAACCTAAGATAGAAGTGGAAAATGTCAATGCACAGACCCATAGCTCCCATCTGCCTGTATTATCCTGCAGGAGGAGGACAGACCCATAGCCCCCTTCTGTCTGTATCACCCTGCAGGAGGAGGACAGACCCATAGCCCCCTTCTGTCTGTATCACCCTGCAGGAGGAGGACAGACCCATAGCCCCCTTCTGTCTGTATCACCCTGCAGGAGGAGGACAGACCCATAGCCCCCTTCTGTCTGTATCACCCTGCAGGAGGAGGACAGACTCATAGCCCCTTCTGCCTGTATCGCCCTGCAGGAGGAGGACAGACTCATAGCCCCCTTCTGTCTGTATCGCCCTGCAGGAGGAGGACAGACTCGTAGCCCCCTTCTGTCTGTATCGCCCTGCAGGAGGAGGACAGACTCGTAGCCCCCTTCTGTCTGTATCGCCCTGCAGGAGGAGGACAGACTCGTAGCCCCCTTCTGCCTGTATCGCCCTGCAGGAGGAGGACAGACTCGTAGCCCCCTTCTGCCTGTATCGCCCTGCAGGAGGAGGACAGACTCATAGCCCCTCTTCTGTCTGTATCGCCCCGCAGGAGGAGGACAGACCCATAGCCCCCTTCTGTCTTTATCGCCCCGCAGGAGGAGGACAGACCCATAGCCCCCTTCTGTCTGTATCGCCCTGCAGGAGGAGGACAGACTCATAGCCCCCTTCTGTCTGTATCGCCCTGCAGGAGGAGGACAGACTCATAGCTCCCTTCTGTCTGTATCACCCCGCAGGAGGAGGACAGACTCATAGCTCCCTTCTGTCTGTATCACCCTGCAGGAGGAGGACAGACTCATAGCTCCCTTCTATCTGTATCACCCTGCAGGAGGAGGAAAGACTCATAACCCCCTTCTGTCTGTATCACCCTGCAGGAGGAGGACAGACTCATAGCTCCCATCTGCCTGTATTATCCTGCAGGAGGAGGACAGACTCATAGCCCCCTTCGGTCTGTATCACCCCGCAGGAGGAGGACAGACTCATAGCCCCCTTCTGTCTGTATCACCCTGCAGGAGGAGGACAGACTCGTAGCCCCCTTCTGTCTGTATCACCCCACAGGAGGAGGACAGACTCATAGCCCCCTTCTGTCTGTATCACCCTGCAGGAGGAGGACAGACTCATAGCCCCCTTCTGTCTGTATCACCCCGCAGGAGGAGGACAGACTCATAGCCCCCTTCTGTCTGTATCACCCCGCAGGAGGAGGACAGACTCATAGCCCCCTTCTGTCTGTATCACCCTGCAGGAGGAGGACAGACTCATAGTTCCTTCTGTCTGTATCACCCCACAGGAGGGGGGGTTGATATTTAACTCACTTGATCAGTTCTCTCCATCCCTCTAAGTAATGTTCCAGTAATATCTCATTGTTGGTTGTCACACTGTGATGAAATGATTGCAACATTTTTCCGATCTGGAAATTCTTCCCCTTGCAGTTCTTCTTGGAGTTTTCTACCACTCGAAGGTAGAAGGACTCCTCCTTAAAGGACTCCAAACCCTTTTCCTGCTGGAAGAAAACAAAATTTTGTGACTCTTTCTGACAGCCATGGAGTAATCTCACAATTTCAAGATGTTCATGTATTGTAGTGATCCACATGAGAAGCTGTTTTGCCTTATGGTAAAACATTTTATCCGTTTGCTTTGAAGCATGAGGTACCAAGCAGAACCGTTAGGTCCAATACACCAAGCAATATGGGAACATAGTATCTGTTTACTAAGGGGATAGCACCTTCCTCAGCTTACTTTCCTCACTCTGGAGACTTTGTCAACATATTTAACTACCTGCCGACCACAGATAGCCGAATGACGGCTGCACTGCGGCCGGCCAGTTCTGAGTGGACGTCATATGACGTCCTCCCAGAACGCGCTCTCCTGCGTGCCCCAGGGGGCGCGCGCACCCGGCGATCTCCGTGATCGCTGTGTCCTACGGACACAGCTGATCACGTGATGTGGTAAAAGGCCAATCACAGCGGCCTTTTACCACGTGATCAGCGGTGTCCAATGACACGCTGATCAGAGGGAAATGCAAGTGTCGGTTCTCTCGGCTGCACTTTCCTCACGCTGTCAGATTGTGAGGAAAGTACTGCCGAGAACCGGCAGTTGTCAGAGCGGGGATCGGCACCGATCATCAGGGCACTGATGATCAGTGCCCTGATGATCGGTGCCCAGCAGTGCCACCCGCAAGTTCCGCCCACCTGTGCCCAGCAAATCACCCACCTGTGCCCAGCAGTGCACCCACCTGTGCCCAGCAGTGCCACCTACCTGTGCCCAGCAGTGCCACCCACCTGTGCCCAGCAGTGCCACCTACCTGTGCCCAGCAGTGCCACCCACCTGTGCCCACCCACCAGTGCTGCCCACCAGTGCCACCCACCAGTGCAGCCCAGCAGTGCTGCCAGTCAGTGCCACCAGTCAGTGCCCAGGGGTTGTGCCAGTCAGTGCTGCCAGTCAGTGCCCAGCAGTGATGCCAGTCAGTGCCGTCTATCAGTACCCATCATCAGTGTCACCTATCAGTGCCGCCTATCAGTGCTGCATATTAGTGCCGCTTATCCGTGACACCTCATTAGTGCTGTCTATCAGTGCCGCCTATCCATGCCACCTCATTAGTACTGCCTATCAGTGCCCTTTAGTGCTGCCTATCAGTGCCCATCAGTGCCGCCTATCAGTGCCCATCAGTGCTGCCTCATCAACGCACATCAGTGAAGGAGAAAAAATACCTGTTTGAAAAATTTTATAATAGAAACAAAGAAACTTTTTTTTTTTTTCAAATTTTTTGCAGTTTTTTTTTTATTTATAGCGCAAACAGTAAAGCGCCCAGTGGCGATTATATACCACCAAAAGAAAGCTCTATTTGTGAGAAAAAAATGATCAAAATTTCATATGGGTACAATGTTGCATGACCGCGCAATTGTCAATCAAAGTGCGGCAGCGCTGAAAGCTGAAAATTGGCCTGGTAAATAAGGGGGTATAAGTGCCTGGTAGGCAAGTGGTTAAAGTCTTTTTAAAGGCCAAGACTTTTGTTTTGGATAGAGTGATGATGGTATAGAACACTGGTCAGGGTTTTTTGTGCCGTTTATGTCCTTGACCATTGTCACCAAAAGTGAAAGTGAAGGGAAAATCCAACATTTTGAGTTGTCACCAGAACACCAGTAGAGGGGAAATCTTACAATAGAGACACCTGTTATGGTGACAACTGTCTACAAAGAAATGTAAGATTATTATTACTTCTGGTTGTGCCTGTAAGAGAGAAAGTGAAGCAAAATCTCCCCAATGGGGCACAGATAGTAAAAGAGAATCTGTCAGGTGTTTTATTCATGTCTCACTGTATCCAAAATGAAAAAATTTTTGCCTTTGATCAGGGGCGGACTGACCATTTGGAAACTCGGGCACTGCCCGGGGTCAGCAGGGGGCCCAATGAGATGCCCCTGGTACCTTTTTCATAGGCTTTTTTGAGTTTTGGCAAGTACACAGGGGCCCCATGATCCCCTATTGAGGGCCTGGGGTCAGTAGGGGGCCCCATGAGATGCCCCTGGTACCTTTTTCATAGGCTTTTTTGAGTTTGGGCGAGGACACAGGGGCCCCATGATCCCCTATTGCCCGGGGGCCCCATGAGTTGTCAGTCCACCCCTGCCTTTGATAAACTGATAAATTAGATCTGACTACACTAGGGAGCAGGTGGAAGCTTGCCACTGCTGACCTTTGCTTAGTAGATCTGTAACTTCGTTCAGGATGTCTTTGGGGCCTAGGATGGAAGAACATTGTGCGTGGAACCACCTGACTGGAAACAACTGGGAAATGGCTGGTTGTGATGGTTCTGTGCAGGGGTGGACTGACAACTCATGGTGCCCCCGGGCAATAGGATCATGGGGCCCCAGTGTCCTTACCCAAACTCAAAAAAGCCAATGAAAAAGGTACCAGGGGCATCTCATGGGGCCCCCTACTGACCACGGGCCCTCGGGCAGTGCCCGAGTTTCCAAATGGTCAGTCCGTCCCTGGTTCTGTGTATTAATACAGAGTGTTCTGCACTGACTATGTACCATGAAGAGAAGGTATTGCTGTATGTGCCTGAGTTGATGCAGTAAAGCGTTAAAAATCAATTGGACTGGACATTCTGGATAACAGGCCTGGAAGCAGGTTGCAATTTAGTATAGTTAGGTGCATCTGCTCTTCTGTTGAATTGACCTCTGAACCAGCAGTGCTCCTTAAGCATTCAAGGGGCTACACAAGCAGTCAAGCTAAAAGATGCCATGTGGTGCTTCAGCTGTTCTGTCTAAGGGACAGGAGCTACACCGGGCCAGAGATTCTGTCAGCTCTGCAGGGGCAGGCTCAGAGGTGGTTGACGCCAAAACAGCTTGAGCCAGGAATGGTTCTTTGTGACCATGGCACCAACCTTCTCTCTGCCCTCCAACAGGGACACTTGACACATGTTTCATGCTTGGCACACATCCTGAGTTTGGTGGTGTAATGTTTCTTAAACAGGTACCCAGGCCTACAAGATCTTCTGAGGCAGGCCAGAGAGGTCTGTGGTCATTTCTGCTGGTCATACAAGGCCAGTGTTCAGCTGGCTGCAATTTAACCTTCCCACCCACCGACACATTTGTGACATTTCCACCAGGTGGAACACAACATTGGCAATGCTGCAGTGGCTGCACATGCAGCAGAGGACCATCAATGAGTACCTGAGTGAGTATGGCACAAGGACAGGTTCAGGGTAGCTTGGCTTCTTTTCACCATGCCTGTGGCTGCTAAAAAGGCTATATGCACTGTCCTGTCACCATCTGAGGAGGCCACAAGGACGGTGAGCCACGACAATGCATGCATCAGTGACAATATCCCTCTAGTCTTTCTGCTGAAGTACACGCTAAGTGGAATCATGGACAGGGCACTTGAGGCAGAACAACAGGAGGAAGAGGAGGACTTCCTTTCCTCTCGAGGCCCCCTTTATGCAGAGACCATTCCTACGGGGCTGCAGAACAGACAGGAGGAAGAGGAGGAGGATTGTGGTAGCGTGGAAGTAGAGGATAACATATGGCAGTCTTCAAGGGATGGTTTTCAGTCCGCATAACACAGCCACAAGTAGTACATGGCTGGGAGGAGGTACTTCATGACAATGTCATCCTCAGTGACCCAGAGGACTCAGAATCTCATGCCTCCCCATACTTATGCTGCATGGGCTACCTGATTCTGCAAAGTCTGTGAAAGTACCCAAAGATTCATGGTATCAAGGAAAGGGATCATTACTGGTTGACGACCCTTCTTGATCCATGGCAAAGTTGCAGAGCTCATCCTGCCTTCTCAGTGGGAGCAGAGGGTGAAACATCTTGAGGACACCTTGAAGAAACATTTGTTTAACATCTTTAGAGACACTGGGAGGTTACCATTTCCTTGACGTGTTTCTGAGGTTTTGTTCGGTCAAAGGAAGAACGGTGGAGAAGATTCCTTAAAATAATTCTTTAGTCCTCAACGCACAGGGCTGTTAGGGTTAAACACCCATCGGCAGCATCTGTATCCTATGGTACAGGATTCTCTTGGGGCATGAGAAGACTTGGAGACCTTTCCAACTGAGCATCTACGGGGTTACTAGGTCTTGAGGATGGATCACTGGCCAGAACTTGCTCAATATGCAATCAAGCGACTGGTCTGACCTGCATCCAGCATGCTTTCCAAATGGAAATTCAGTGCTGCTGGAGGTTTTGTGACAGATGAAACAGTGAGCCTGTCCACAGAGTCCATTTACCAGCTAACATTTATCAAAATGAATCAGTTCTGGATCAACATCAGCTATCAAGCCCCTGATGCTAATGTAAATGTGTTAGGGATCGGGGATCCCTGGAAGACTGCCTATGCTGCCATGTTTTTGGTTTAGAGCACCACCAACACCCAAGGCCCAGTTTTTCTGCACCTATTTGACAGGTTCATCTAATTACAATTTTTTTATAAACTGTTCTATTTTTTAACAGCAGGGTCCATTCCTGCACCCAGCAAGAAAAACTGTGAGGGGTTAAAGAGTTTAGGCACCACTAACACCCAAGGCCCAATTATTCTGCTCCTGTGTGACAGGGGCATCTAATTTCAAATTTATTTCCTAATTTTTAACAGGAGGACCCATTCCTGAACCCAGCAAGAGTAACTGTGAGGGGTTACAGTGTTCAGGCACCACCAGCACCCAAGTCCCAATTTTTCCGCACCAGTGTGACAGGTGCACATTATTTCAATTTTTTTTTAGAGCAGTGCCAATCCCTGCACTCATCAAGAGTAAATGTAAGGAGTTACAGTACAGAGGCACCGACACCCAAGGTCCATTTTTCAACACACTGTATGACAGATGCATATAATTTGAATTTTTAAAACAGGGTCCAATCCTGCACTCATCAAAAATAACTCTGAAGGGTTATAGTGTGAAGGCACCACCAACTGTTCGCCCGCCAAACACCCCACAATGCACTGCACTCTCACAATGCACAGTCCCCACGCCACACTATATAAGACAAAAGGGAAAATACTCCCGCTTTAGGCCTGGTAGGACTTTTAAGGGAAAGAATGGGGGGGAAAAAAAGTGTGGGGTTCCCCCCTAAATTGATCTGAGCACAGACCTGGCAGGACAGGAGAGGGGGGGGGACAAACAAGTAGCCCCCCTCCCTGCGGCTGACCAGGTCACATGCCTTTGGCATGGGGACGTTGTCCCTGTGTTGATGGGGACAAGGTCCTCTTCCCCCCACAACCCTTGCCCAATGGTTGGGGTCTGTGGGCAGGGGATCTCATGAGCTTCAGGGTACCCCTTTAAATAGGGGGCACCCTGATGTTGCCCCCTCTTGTGAATGAGTAAGGGGTACTTGTACCCCTACCCATTCACTAAAATGGTTAAAACTGAGAAAAAATAAAGAGACCAGACTTTTGGAAAAAATCCTTTAGGGCTCGCTCACACTTGGCTGTTTTACCAACGCTTGCCAAACGCCCCTATAGCATTTGGCAAGCGTTGGTCCAGCGTTCGCGGAGCGTTTTTTAACGCTCGGCAAACGCTCCGCAAATGCCGCATGCACGGTTTAGCGGAGTTTGCCGAGCATTAATAATGCCCCACAAATGCCTATAATGCAGTTTGAGTGGTGTTACCGCTCCGCAAACGCCCCGCAACCGCGTCGCAAACGCTGGCTGGGCGCTTGCGGAGCGGCACCATAGACGAGAATAGGAAGCTTCAACGCCTCCTGACTCGACCAGAGGCGTCTGTTTTGCCGCGACGCAAACGCTCCCATTAGAACAGCACCATGTGCTGTAATGTGCAGAATTGGCAGAGGCATTTGGGAAGCGGTAAAAACGCTTCCCAAACGCCTCTCTGCCGCCTGCACACAACGCTAGTGTGAACGTAGCCTTAGTGAACAAAAAAAACTGTCCTTTATTAAAAAAAAAAAAAAGACGTCATCCATTGTTGTCACAACGACTCGCTAAAATAAAAAAAAAAAACAACGTCCACTGACCCGTTCGCACCTGTCG